TTTTTTTTTTTTTTTTTCCTTTCCTTTCCAAAAATACCTATATTCTTTTTAAGGTCAATTTCGTAATTAATTGGTCTAGTAACTTTAAAATGTGTCCTTTCAATTCTGTATCTTATGTTATATTCAATATTTTTTACATTAACAAAGTATTACATATAAATATTTTACAATGCACAAAATATAATTATTTGATACCGATTAAAGTTCTAACATTTAATAAGCATAAATTTATATATACTTCGAGCTCAAACTCTTTCGTTGGTGGGACTTTTCGAAGTTGTGTCTAATATATATATTCTTGTGAACTTTTAATTTTAAACTTTATTTCATAAACTTAAGATAGTAAAATATAAATGTACCTAAAAGTTTTTAAATTTTCAATTTTGTGCTCGTGATTAAAATAATCTTAGAAACACGTGATGTTTTTAATAATAATATTTCCAAATAAATTACCTTATATGTATTTTTAAGATTACCTTGATTATGTAATAAATACATAAAAGATTTAAAAAAAAAATATATATATATTAAAAGAAATACATATAATTCCCCCTTGCGCCTCTCTCAAGTCACATTAATAATAGCTTGAAATTCAAAAGTGATTCTTTCCTGAAGGTTAAAATTTACAAAGCAATACACATCAACATCTGGATATACAAGCAAGATGAAGAAGGAAGCTGAATAGCACTAAACATCAATGACCCTGTTAATTAGTGAATGAGAAGCAAACAAAGATGTTCTTCTCATATAATTTGATTGATTGATTGAAATGAATGGGTTTTCTTTATACCTCGAAAACTAAGTCAGGTTAAGGCTCACAGCTTGAAAAAGCCAAGGAGGGTAATCTACCTCTACCATCTTCTTCTCCCCCCTATCACTTCCGTTTTGGAATCCCGAGGGATTTTCAGGTACCCCCAAAACCGCCATTTCCTGCACCCTAACTTGGTTTCTATCCATACGTCTTCCCTCATGGCTGGACCCTGTCGAAGAAGAAGAGTGGGTGGTTATTCCCGAGTCTGAAGTATTGTAACTCGAAGGGCCTAGAGTTAGTTCCAGTTCATTCTCGTTTATGATCTGCAGAGCTCCATTATTGGCCTCTGCTTCATCTTCCGCCGGCTGTTCCAAGTCTAGTTTGGTCGTCTGAGTTGTTGATCTAGAATAGTTTTTTGCGTCCTGTTCATAGATTTGTCTGAAGCATATCTCATTCCTTTTGTCCCAACTCTTTGTATTCCATCCACTATCCCTGCTTTTCTCGACGTTTTTCATTAATGTCTTTTGGGTTCGATAAAGCCGATGAAGTTCATGTACCTGCAATATATATGTCCTCCCAACCTTAGAACATTAAACCTCTTTCACTTTTGTCATGAAAGTATAATACATCTCTCTGTAATATAAAAATAATAAACATGTCAATAAAGGTTTAATAGTTTTTTTAGTATATTCAACGTTTTTTTCAATTAACAAATTTGATATACATGAAATTAAATTTTGTATCTAATAACAACATTTAACTTCCAATGGACGAACCCATTCAATGATGTTAAATATCAATTATGAGATATATGGGTTTTCTATGGGCTAATGAATGTTTTTTTTTTTTTTCAATGATGTAGCCCATAGAAGATTATGAGAAATATGACAAAAACCCTAAATGGACAATAACTATGAATCCAATCCAATCCATCCATTGCCCTGCCACCACAAATTCTAGATTTTTCTTTTCCCCCACTTTAAAAAGTTGCACCGCACTTTTCTCAGATCGAACCACAAGAAATTCAAAACACCCATATTTATTAACTAACATGAAAAGAAAAGGCGGAAGTACTATCAAAATTATGGAACAAGTTGAATATGTTTTTGTTAAGATGACCAGATTGGAAAAATCAGTGGTCAGAATGCAGAGATGCATCTTTAACAGTGTTATAATTGCATGGTTGTTTTGGGTTATAAACAAAAAAGAAAAAGAAAAAAATGCAAACTGAAGATCAAAATTGGAGAAAAACCTGTTGTTTGAATGTTTCTTCATGCTTTAACATGGCCATTCTCATGTACTCCTTTTCATGTGCCTTAGGCAGCTTTTCCATTGGGATTTCAGCCCCCTTTTCCTGTTTACCTGAGGCAGTATTGAATCTTAAGTCCCCAGAACAGTCTGGGAAAAGAAAGTCCATTAACAAAATAAGAAGTGGCTCAGAAACTCAGAATCTGCTTCAGGAATAACTTCTAGTCTGAGAAAATCATTAATTCAAAGGACTACCGTTTGATAGATTTTATATTTTCTTTTAAATACTACTGACCAACCCATTATAAATTGGGTATTCAGTAGCACTAATGAGGACAGAACAGCCTAGTACGAATGAATAAAAACTTGTGATAAAGCCTTTACATCGATCTTTTGTTTGCTATCCTAAATATCCCTTTCTCATTCAGTCATTACGTCGAGCACTTAATGCGCTCCCTCCCCCCCTCGAAAAAAAAAAAAACAGAATCGTTTCACATTATAAAAATTCGTTTGAAAATCAAACCAAAATCATCTCTAATTACAAATTACAATATCGAAGATGGATCAAACCTGGAATTAAACACTCTGATCAATCAAGAGAGTAATAAGAAACCAAACGGGAACTTCTTAAATGTAACCAAAACGCGAAAAACATTAGGAATTACCGAAACGATCCGACGTTATCCTAACGAGCACCGATCAGCCAATGAAATTGCAGAGTTTGCATGAATGTTTCTTTTTATCAGAATACTGCAAAAGAAGTCAAAAGCTAAGACGATGCAGAGGGAAGAAATGGAGGAAGATGAAGAAGATGAAGAAGAAGAAGAAGAAGAAACTCCATCTCCTCCAACAAAGAGTTCGCAAAATCGTAATCGGTTTACAGAAAGAAAGATGGAACATAGAAGACTCCAGCATTCCCCGAAAATCAGAAGTGAATATAAACAAATTGAAGTTAAAGGAAAAGATTCTCTCACATTTGCGCACTAAGGAAGAGGGAACAAGAAGATGAAGAGGAACAGAAGCGTACCCCAAGTTCTGCGATGTTTGGGGTCAGATTCCAGCCAATCTCCTTCAAGTTTCGTGAAAGATATGCTTCAGAAATAGGCAACACCAGCAGTGCACGAGATTCCAAGTACTTGGTATATATAATTCACATCCACCTCTCTCTCTCTCTCTTCCTTGACCTTGTTTTTTTCCTTTTCTTTTTCTTTCTTTCTACGTATTTTATTTGCCTTTTTATACTTTTAGCCTAATTTTGATAACGACTTTATTGGATTTTTCTCTAAGAATATTACATTTCTTTTTTATTTATTTATTTAAAAAAACATGAAGCTTTGATATTATTTTGAAAAGTATTCTCATTTTAAATCAAGTTTTAATATACACAATATACATTAAAAAGCGCAACAAAAAAAAACTTAAAATTCAATTAAATAGCTAAATTATATATGGAAATTCGATGGGAGAGAATAAAATAAAATTTAATACAAAGTTGTAAGATGAAGACGTGGTATTTAAATTATTGATGCAAAATTTTAAAAGAAAAAAGAATATATAAAAGGAATTCTTAATAGCATCGCCGTATTAAATTATTTTATAAAGTTACAGAAACAAGAAAGAAAATGATGATGGAAATTATATAGACAAAGGCGATTCACATGCAAATGAGAACTATGTGTCACGGAAACAGTTGTCTGAAACTAATAGAGCAAAAAAATAAAAATAATAGTTGTCTCAATTATATGTATAAGAATCTTGATTATATCTATGGATTACTATTATAATATATATTTGGGAAAATAAATGTTAGATAATTATTACCCATTAAGATAAAGATTGGTCTGCTATGGCCCACCGACAACTTGATAATGGCCGTACGATATAAGTTTACTTCTATGAATAATGGTCCAAAACAAAATAATGAGACAGAACTGCATTTTCTTGTTCTCTTTTACTTTAAACTCATTGCCTATTTTCGTAATCTAATAACTCCAAAGTGACACAATTATTGAGGATTAACATGGTTTAAGGTTTAAAACATTTTTATTCCAATCGTCACATTGTATTAATTTTGTCATAATCATAATCATAATTATAATATTTATGAACTGAATTAAGATCTGTACTTATCAGTCACTTTTCTTATAAGCATTAATAAGCATGTTTAGGTGGAGGGAGGAGTGAAGCATTATTGAAGTAAATAAATGGATGGAGAGTTTGTGTTTTTGTGGAAAGGTGAGTAAATTGGTGAAGACCACATTTATAATTATAAGCTTTACTTTAAATTGCAACAAGGAAGTTGCTATAAAGAAGAGGAAATGAATGAATACAATAATGTAATAGAAATAATGTGAAAAAGCAGGTGAATTGGATGATGAATAAGTGTACTACCAAAATTTGAAAGCAGGAAAGTTGGAAATGAGTTGTAATGTTGAATCCAAACCGGCAAAGGAAGCCGAACCAGATCATTATCTGTGGCCGTCCATTTGTCTTTCCCACGTGGGTGCCATTTGCTTAACCCTCCAATTTAATTTTACTCATTCATGGGCTCCACCCCTCGCACGTTTCAATCCTATTTCCAGTTTATTTAACTATTAATATTAATAATAAAATTATACAGATACAGTAGTATGTTAATGGATTTAGTGGGTTAAGAGTGGAGGATCCGGAGATTCTATTTTGGTCCCGGCCGCTGCAGATCCTCTCTTCTGTGCTACCAAACCGCCAACGCTTGGCACTGTGTCAAACATGACACCCAGAGAAGAAGAAGTGGACAGGGAATCACGCCTTGCCGGCGTATGGTGGAGCAGCCCGGTGAGGCGGTGGATCCACCCGGACCCCCCCTCCCCTTCCTCATTCTTCTTCCCACTTTTCCCGGTAGGCTAAAAATATAATATTGAAAACTTTTTGTAAAAAGAAAAAGAAAGTCGTTTAATTTCTACAATTGAGTTAAACCTCATAAAGTCTAAAATATTTATGGGTAAACAAATAAGATAATAAAATCAAGGGCGGAAAGAAAGGGGAATCTTCTTGCTTTGCTACCTTGTCGGTGGATTGTGGAGTCTCGGGTCAACACCCACGCCTTCCGGTCCCATGTATTGGATTATATCATTTATTTAACTTTTACCTTCATTTTTTAATACGTTCATTTTATATCTTAGACCATGTGCTTTATTAAACTCCCCTTTTAATAATTACCTTAAGTTTCCACTAAATTATTTAATTTAATTATGTAGTGGAAGAAAGTTTAGCAACTAACCTCAACTACTTGCCTTAGTTAACCACTCATTAAAATTTCTTATCTACCCTTAAAAGCCTATCTCTTCACGTCGGTTGAGCTTTAAAATTATATAATGCTTGTCACGAGCCTACCGATAGCTAACTTTTAGATAAGAGGAGTAGTAGTTGGATCGAGTATTGACCTTACGTACTTCTATGTATGTTCGTTTATTTATTAAGTATCAACTTTTACCATTGAGTTGCATTATCGAATATCAACTTCCAGTATTGACCCTACCCACTCATATGCATGTTCATATAATTTTTTTTTTAAATATAAAAGAAAAGAAGATTATCCTATTTTACTTCTTCCACATTCCTACCTCGACTTAAAATTCGTTAGGTTTTTTTTCGGAAACAAATTATTGAAAATAATGGTAATAGCAAATGTTTTTTTTTTTTTTTTTTCTCTTTTTTTGGTCGGAGAAAAGTAGATAGACATTTAGGAGCAGGAAGAGGGTAGAATTAAGAGACAAGAGTGGTCATGTCAGTGAGCAGGGTGAGTAACCAAAGGCGTAGGCATCATTAGAAATTTATAGCAAAAGGAAAGGAAGGGGGCGATGGTTCAGCGTTTTTGAACTGCAGCCACGAACAGATGTCTTAAACAAGGGCCCCATAGCGGCCGAACCCGAACCCACCCAACGGAGATATTAATGGAGAGTTAGGGTTTAGGCGTGTCCCGGCTGTTGCCTTGCCCTTTACCTTAACTCTGGAGTTAGGTTGGGTTGGTGTGGTGGGGGGTGTTATCCATGGCGCCCACCAGCCGTTGGAGAATTTGTTTGCTGACTGGATTCACACAACTTTGTACTTAGTGGACCTCCAAAATTCATCTTTTTCTCTCTTCTATCGATTGGATGGATATTTGTAAAGGACAAGGCCATTCCAAATCACTATACAATCAGGTGACACGTTGCCTTGCCTTTTAGTTTCCAACTCCATTTTCTTTATGAAGCCCATTAAGGCCCAAAATTAAACAATTGGGCTTTATTGTGCGCTAATGGGAATCAAATCGAGAGCCCAAGGCCCAATATTTTAAAAGAAGTCTATTTAAATATATCAATTGCATATTATTTATCTTTCAAGAGTTGACTTTTGTGTTTATAAATAGAGCCCTTGTTAACTAACAACCCTACATTTCATATTAATTATAGATTTTTGTCTTTAAAATTTACAATCGAGATCACATTCAAAAAAATATACATTGTAATATTCGTGAATAATTGAAGGAAGCTCTTTGAATATATATATATATATATATATATTTGTTCTGTTAGTTTAAATAAATTGATAAAAAATTTACATTAACACCAATTAAATTCCAATTCTAAAAATAAATGTTTTTTTTTTTTAATTCTTCTTCATTTTCATTCAGATAAAGTAAACAACCAATTTAATGAGCTTCTATTTAATACAATGGCTGCTAAAGGATGAGTCAATCTGTAAGAGAATCCTGAACTATTAGTTGCAAGCTTGGCCATAGCTAGGCGGTTGGCCTTAGTCAAGCCGCCAGCCACGGCGGCGCAATTGATTATAGAAGTCTTTTGTTGACGCAGGTGATTGGATCGGAGCGTATGCATGGCCTACATTCTTATCAATTTCACTGAAGGGCTAACATTTAATTCGCTGTTATTTTATTTTTGTTTTTTTTTTTAAATTTTAATTAAAAAGTCCAATTGTTGGCCTAATTTTCATTAAAAAAAAAAAAACAAAAATTGGAATTTGTAGCTGGATGTAACAAAAATATTGGGTTTTTTTTAATNCACAAAATATTAAATTTCATTAAATAAAAATGTATAAAAAGTCAATTTAATGTGCATAAAAGTCAGTTGAATTGATTTAAATGATCATTAAATGTTGACGTGCAAATTAGGAAGTGACTAGAAATGAGACGTGGGAATATTTATCGTATAAATTGTCTTTTATAGGACACTTCCGATAATTAATATTTATAATTAACAGTCTGTAATTAGTTTGATCTAAAAATTACTGAATTTTAAAAAATATTTAAGATAATTTTTTCCGCATATTTTTTAGTTGTAATTCATGGGCTTGGGTGTCCAGTCGTTTGTCATTTCAAAATTAAATAATAATAATAATAGTAATAATAATGTACTATTTGGGTGATAAAATATTTTTTAAAAAATGGCGCTCGTCAAATAATAGAGCATCAATCGCATATGGGTTGGAATTGAAAATAATTTAAGCATTTGAATATTTAATTAATTTAGGCTGGGAGAAGACAAAAGAAGTGCCACTGTAATATTTGTCTTCTTGTTCAAGAATTAAATAATTAGGGAAACGGATATATCTTAGGATAAAGGGAAGATAATGGTTCAAAAAATGGTTAAGATGTCCCATTAATCACTCCAAAAAATTAATCAATCAAGGGACCATATGGGTTCCTATATTTGTTGGTTCTATAAATATGTTTGCAACCATCCATATTTAAAATTAAAAAAAAAATGTAACGAAAATATAATTCGAATATAAATAAAAAATGGATGAAATATGATATGTTCTTATATTTTTTTCCTACTCAAACCAAGAATTATTCTCACGATTAATATTTACTTTCATTTGTCTAATGATATACAAATTAAAATTTAATATGTTAACCACTTTCGATTCTAATCTGCATGGCATATTTTTTTAATGCATGAACAAACACATTTCACCATAAATTATTGAATACCAAAAGTCATATCAATTATAGAGAGTTGAGGATATATCATGAATACAAAACTATCAATAATTTTTTTAGATATAAATTATAAATAATTCCAACTATATTAGTTGAGGTGATGACAAAACGATTTATATTTTTTTAACAAGTGCTTGTATTTATTTACGTGGTATATATGTAACGTAAATCTAAGAAAAATTATTTGTTACATGTCAATTATAATTTCGAACCCATTGCATCAAATTGAGGTGGCAAATGTATTTAGAACAAGGATTAAAAAAAGGCATTAAGTCGAACACGAGCTATATTCGTAGTTTATATGTTAATTGGGTCGAGTTGGGAAGGAGGGTGGTGTGACGGTTCTCCAATTCAACCTTTGGAAGGAGGGCACCCACCTAGTCACCTACACTACACAATAAGGCTTAACTTGGATGCTAAGGTTTTGTTATGCCCTTTGTAACTCAACGCTCACTTTACCCCAAAACCGAATCTCTATCTTTCCCTTTCATCCCTTTGAATATTCGTCTCATTACGTGTTCCAATTTTTCTCTTACACTTCCCCTACCAAACGCTTCCAAGAGTGCACCCTAACGCTACACTCCATGTCCATAGGCGGCCGTATTAATCTTCTTCTTCTTTGGCCCGAATTTTTATCCAACTGGCTAATTGACCGCCCCTCCCTACAGCCCATCCCCTCCTATATATTCCTACTGCTCCCTCATTAATGCCGCTCATCCCCTTCCCCTTCCCCTTCAACTTTTATTAGTTTCCTCAAATGGGTCGCTTCAACCTCCTCATTGCACTCTCTCTTCTTTCTTTGTTCGTCTTCCCTTCTCCAACCCTCGCCCAACTCCGAAAAAACTTCTACGCCAATATCTGCCCCAATGTCGAGAACATTGTCCGCTCCCAAGTTACCAAGAAATTTCAACAGACTTTCGTCACTGTTCCCGCCACTCTCCGCCTCTTCTTCCATGATTGCTTTGTTCAGGTCATTCCTGTTCTGTTCAATTCAACCCTGGAGGTTACAGAGTCCTGTAATTTTGTTTCAATGTCTATGTTTTTTTTTTGTTGGATTTTTAGGGATGTGATGCCTCTGTGATTATTGCTTCCACTCCATCCAACAAGGCTGAGAAGGATCATCCCGACAACCTCTCGCTTGCCGGAGATGGATTTGACACCGTCATTAAGGCTAAAGCCGCCCTGGATGCCATCCCTCAATGTCGAAACAGAGTCTCCTGTGCCGATATTCTTGCTTTGGCCACTCGTGACGTCATCGCATTGGTTAATATAAACTCATACTCACACATTACTAATGCTGTTTAAAGATACAATAAATTCAAAATCTCACGGTCTGTCTCCTAATTCCAGTCCGGCGGACCGTCGTACGCGGTGGAACTGGGAAGGTTAGACGGCCTGGTTTCTAGAGCCTCCGACGTGAACGGGAGACTGCCAGCACCGACCTTTAATCTCAATCAGCTCAATTCTCTGTTTGCTAAGAATGGGCTGACACAAGAGGACATGATCGCTCTCTCAGGTATCCCCTCACGCTCCAATAAAATTTCGACACGTGGGTATTAGCGTAATTATTATTTCTCACATGCAACTGAAACTGTTTGTTGGTGGTGTATGATGTGGCAGCGGCACACACCGTCGGATTCTCACACTGCGGGAAGTTCTCGAACCGAATTTACAGCTTTGCCCCTGGAAAGCCAGTGGACCCTTCATTAAACAGAACATATGCAAACCAGCTACAACAGATGTGCCCGAAGAGTGTGGACCCCAGAGTGGCGATTAACATGGACCCAATCACGCCCAGAGCATTTGACAACATATACTTCAAAAATCTGCAGCAGGGAATGGGCCTATTCACCTCGGACCAGGTTTTGTTCACCGACTCCAGGTCCAGGCCCACAGTGAATTCCTGGGCCAGCAACTCCCAGGCCTTTAATAAAGCCTTTGTTGCAGCCATGACCAAGTTGGGCCGGGTCGGCGTAAAGACCGGTAGAAACGGTAACATCCGGCGTGATTGCGGAGCCTTCAATTAATCCATCCCTACTTCTATTCTAGTTTGCGTGTGTATAGAGGGCACGACCCGACGATTCGATTGGGTCGGCATTCCGTTGAAGGGAACCAGTTTTAATAAAGAATTTAAATTTTAATTCCTCCACCTTATTTATTAGAATTTCAAGTTTGAATGTAACACAATCTTTTATTTTATTTTATGAAAAAGAAAAATAAAGTTAGTATTAATAGACAATCATTAATTCATAATTAAACAACCCCTTTAGTTTTAACAATATAGCTTTTTGGTCAAAATTATGAGATTATACAATTTATCTGTACTAAGAATGGATAGTTTTGTTAAAAAATTTGGTTGGTTTGTTGGAATTTGTATTTAATGCTTTATAGACTTTAAAATAAAGTATATAATTGTATATCTAATAGAATATTGACACATTCCACGTTTTGAATGATATAAAATATAAAATGTAATGTTTGAATACATACAAATAAAAGATATATTTGAATTACTGAATAGATTCCAATATTAAGGTCAGCGCCACAGGCTATGACATTTGGGTGTATAGAAAGAATGGGCCTGGTTCTGTAAAATGTGGCCCAGATGGATCCAAACCCCGAAAGAGAAAACTGAATGAAAATTGTAACATACAAAGTTTGTTTGTTATATATATATATATATATATATATATGATTTGGATTTGCATGAAAAATGGATGTAATGCGGAAGTTCATAGAAGACGGTCGCATGTGATAAATAATCCAAGTTTTTCTTAGTTGTTACACAGTGCAAAATGCCGGAAAGCAAACAGCAAAAAATGAAGAAAAAAAAAAGGGTGAGTCCATAATCTGTACTGCCAAATGTCGGAGGAAAGAGTGTCAAATCTTTATTGCAATATGACATCAAACCCTCTGCCTCCTCTGCTTCACAACTATGGTCGCCCTTTTTTCCTGGATCTACAAACCCTAAACCCTAAACCCTAATACCCTAATCCTAATCTTAAAGCAGTCAACAAATGGATGATCGGAGTAGTCTAGTCAATCTGTTTCAACGAATTAATTTGGTTAGCAAGGTACCCAAGCGGTGGCGAATACGACGTCGTGTCCTTTCCATGTCAGCACCAGGTGGTCGTCTTCCTTCTTCAACCCCCATCCCGCCGCATGCTCGTCCAGCATCGTCTTCACCTCCGAAACCGCCTCGTCTCCGAAGGGAGCACCGCGGAATTTGGCGTTGCGCATCCGCTGAACCCACCGCCCCTTGGGCTCCAATCTTTCAACTCGCTGGATGCCTTCGTGGGCGATTACATTCTCGATCTTCCAACAAATGTCGGCCTCGTACCATTCCCTCTGCTTGCTGCTCCTAGGAAGAAACGAATCCATGGAGTCGTAAGGAATCCACAGGTAATTGAATGCGGATCTCAATCGGCTAACTAATTCGGTGGACGTGAAGTCCGCATCTTCCTCTACTAGAATCACAATCGTTGGATCTAAGCTACGGATTGTTTTGAGAAACATGGATCGGACTGAAGACGACATGTCGAAACTGGGAGAGGGGTTTGGGTTTAGTGTTTCTTCGGGGATGTAATGGAGCAGCATGTGGCAATTAAAAACCAGCGCTCCGTTATTTTCGGGTCCGTAAATTAAATGTTGCACTCGGATTTGTTCGATTAAATTGGCAAAACCGTCTGTATGGCAAGAGGGGACCACTCTGAATTCCATACTCACGTTTCTAGACCTAGCAAAGTTCACCAATTTCGCACCTAATTCGTCGTACGACAGCTCCAGCATCGGCGGCGCGTCTTTAACGGCAGCGGCAGCGACGGTTGTGAGTTTGAGTAGAGGGGGGACCTCGAAACGAGTAGCAATGGCGTCTATAAGAGTGGGGATTTGCATGCAATGCATCAGGCTGAAATCAACGACGTGGACGGCGGAGTAACCGTCGATGGCGTCGAGAATGGCGGCATTGGCAGCGGTGAAGCCAAAGCGGTGCCAGGGGGTTAAGTCGACAAAGGCGGCGAGGTCCATGAGGGAGAAGGTGTGTGTGGTGAGAGAGGAGGAGAAGGCAGAGGTGGTGATGGAGGCGAGAATCTTGCAGTTGCCAGTGTTGGCAGCGCGTGTGACAAGAGCGCGTAGGAAGGCGGAAGTGAGGCGTTGGTTGGAGTCGCCATCGGGAGGGGCAATGTTGTTAAGAACCCAAAGGATTTGTTGGGCGAGAGTGGCGTCGTTGGATTCGATGGCGTTGGCGCAGTGGACCAACAACTGTTCCATGCAATTGGCGTCACCGAAGCAAGTCCCCAAAGCCTTGGAAGAACAAGGGAACAACAATCCAGGCCATGGGCGCCTCCGAAGCTGCTGCCCCGACGTGGTCGTAATTTGGGTTTTATTACTCATAGAGATGTCCGGAAATGAGTTAAGAATGGTGTGGTGGAAGCGTGGGGTATGTGCCTGGATTGCATCATGGAGAGAAGAAAGAAAAGGAAGATATAGCCAAAAAGGAAAGGAAAAAGGGGGGAATTCAGAGACAGAGAGAAGGGAAAAGGACACGACCAGAGGAGGAGGAGGAGGAGGAGGAGGAGGGGGAGGAGGAGGGGAGGGGACCTCGGGCAAAGGGAAATTAACCGAAAGCAAAGAGGAATGAATACAAAATTAGCATAACCCAACACAACACTCAAACTTGGAAGTCAAAAAGAAGAGAAGGAAGGACAAAAAGGGGGTGTGGTCTGAAATTCTAATCTTGTAGCTCATCATCATATCATATCTCCTTTTCGAAAACTGGGGAAAATGAAAGGCAGCAGCGAGCGTAGCAGCCAGCCAGCCAGCCAGCCGGCCAGGGAGTTTGTCCTTAACCACGACTTGGGATTTTGTCATTTATTGCGCACAACATGCTCTGCTTTCTTCCCTTTCCTTCACAACTCACTCACGGGCCATCCATGCCATGCCATGCCATGCCATGCCATCCATCATAATAATGACTCACTCACATCATCACCAAATCATTTTTATCCACTTTCTCTTTCTATGTCATTAATTCATTCATGTTATGTTTATGTATGTAAGTTCCATTTGAAGGGAAGGGAGTAGTGGAAACTGATTGCACCCTTCTCAAGGCGGTACATGCTTTTTCATGTTATACCTCTTTCAATCTGCATCCTTTTTTCTGTGTGTGTGTGTCTATAAAGCTGGTGGGTGGGTACGTTTTGAAGATCTTATCCCAGGGACCATTTTTGGATATTCAGAGGAAATTTTAGAACGTGACATGTAGTTAAAAGGAATAAATGTTGGCAGCATCTACCAGGTGAGTACTCCATAAAACTCTTCAATGGAGGAACACTGCAAAGCAAAGCAAAGCAAAGCATGCAAGACGGAGAGCAAACACAGGATTATATTCTTACGGAGATTGGTGAAGCTTTTTTATAAAAAGAAATTGAATTTTAGTTTTGGAGAATTTTGAGGAGGATTCCCCAGGTGACTACAGGACATACGTGTTCGAGCAAAACCCCCCACCGCAAAATTCCAATTTTTTATTTTTTTAAGGGAAGAAAAACTGGGGATTTCTGAGAAAAAGGGAATTCTGAAACATGCATTTCATTCGTTCTCTCCTCTATCAAAACGACAGCGCCAAAAACAGACACGTAAGCATCCACGCCATGTGCTTTATTATTCTAAACTAATAATTTTTATTATTAATATATAAACTGTTATCTTTTAAGCACGGCCAACAAGACGTTATTATCTTTCTTTATTCCCTCTCTTATCTTTTAACAAAACCCACAACACATGCCGACGCTTCTTTGTTTTGTTCGTTCCTCTGTAAACAATCAATATAACCATTAAAAAATAAAATAAAAAAAATTATTTGTCCACTACTAAGAATTGAGTTTGCAATATTAAACCGTTTGGTGAAACATTCCATTTAATATTAGGATTCTACCATATTTACTATATTTATATATGGTAGGTTTGAGTGTTTGATATATATATATATATAATTTGGAGAGCACCCATTTGAATTATTTGGTGAAATATTGATAGAAAAGTGTGTTGATAATTGAGAAGGAAGTGAAGTAAATTTAAAATAAAAGATGAAGACCTAATCCGATGTCCATATGTGTGAGTTGGAATAGACAAATAATTGGTTTAACCATCATGGGTCAATTTCTCTTAATTAATATGAAATTTTGTGACACAAAGAAGTTGACATCTTTCAAGGCATTCCCCATTTCGCGCAGCCTTAAAAATAATAATAATAATAATTTTTTCATTATCTTGTTGGCTTTCTTGTCTTCTTCTTGTCGACTTTGAATCATCGCCACAATTAGAATAAAATCAAGAGATTGTTACTTTTTGTCTCCTTCTGTCAACCAATTCCTTTGGAATTAGTAACATAGATGGGACGGACGGAGGAAGTTATATGTATGTGTGTGTATAGAAAATTGTTAGTGTGGGACCCACGAAGACAAATTTGGGCCTCCACGCACTTCAAATAAAAAAAAAGATGGTCCATTTAGGCCCAATTGGTGGCCCCCGGTTGGACCCAAGAGGCACCGGTCAGTTATCCTTTCACTGCAAAGAGCGGGAGGTTATCGCTGCTCTGTGAGGCCAGCCTGGCGCGTTCCCCTACGCTTTAGAGACCCGTACGAGATGGGCCTTCGCCCAACCCATACGGCCCAACTCTTTGCTTGAAATGGACTGGTCCAGTTACTAGCCACATATAGATCCGGACCAACCAATTAGGGCTCATGTTCCATCTTCCATTATGCCCTCACTCGAGTTACAAGCTTACGCAACCAAGCTCGGCGATGGTCACGTTGTATAAGAAAGAATTAATAGTGCAAATTGAGGGTAAAAATTAGCAATGTGGGACTCCGTAACAAAGTACGTATTGAGAATTTTTAAAAGATGAAGGGTCAAATCCAGAATTATTCAAAAGATTAAGGACTAGTGGGAATATTTTAATTTGATCGAGTTAATTGCTTTAAGTTTACTCCCGATAAAGTCTCTGTCATTTGATTCTTCTAGATTTTACTATAGTTTTCCTTTTCCCAGATTTGCTTTTCTTCTGAACATCCAATAGAAAAAAGAAGAAGAAGGAATAGGAATAATTATATATATGAGATGAGGTGGTGCAGGTGGAAACAAGATGGACCAAATTAGACCGAATTGTTGACATGTTAACCACAACCGAATAAACAAAACAAAAAAAGAAAGAAATAGAAATAGAAATAGAAATAGAAATAGAAATAGAAATAGAATAATATGCGTATGAATAAATAAATAGCAAGAGGGAAGGAAGGAATGAATGAATTTGGCTTTAAAATGGCATGAAAGGGCAGATGTCTATTGCAGAAAGCCGCAAAGAAAGAAACACCCCCTGGCGTGAAGGCCACAATCATCCATTTGCCGCCCGCCCCTTCAACTCCAGCAAGAGTGAACTCAACCTTCTCTTCTTTCACTAATTTTATCAAACACCTTGTGGGCCTTCTCTTTCTTTTCTCCTCTTCCCTTCTTCCCCTCTCTACATCTCAATTCCATTAAGAATCCCAAACCCAAGTTCGTTGTGAATATCTGTCCCCTGTCCTTGTTCTTCATTGCCATCCACTTGGGCGTCTGTAAGGAGTGGCCCAATTTCAATTTCACTGCCTCCCAATTATCCTTCCCTAATAATAATATTATCTACATCGTAAAACCTAATATTATCATCTCACACTCATGCCTTATCTAATAATTCTATATCATTTATTATATTATTATATGTCACACAAGCCAATACAACCATAGCCCTAATGTGTGAAACAGAAAGAAGATTCTATACCTTATTTTAAATCTTCTCTATCTCCTTACCTAAGATTTTGAATATATAAATATGGTCTGCATATTGCATGGAAGATGATGCCACTGAAATCCACGTAATCCAAATTCCATTCCATCTTCAATAAAAGAAAATAAATGACAAATCTAATCTTACTTCATTAATTAATTCGAAATGAATGATGTTTAAGAAGCCATTTTGTTTAAAAAATATAAATATTACGAAGGAAATAGAGAGATTAATAAGATTGTTAAATTGAGAAATTGAAGATAAGGATAATTAAGGTAGGATTGCTGTTTTGGCATCCAGGTGTCCTAATGGAATTAAGTATTTTGAACAAATTTAAATAAATAAATAAATAAATAAATACATAAAATGTGGGGCTGGAGTTGGAGATGGACATGGACATGGCTGCGTCGCTGCACCAGGAAGCTTGGAGTTTGTCGTCATTGTCCAAATTCAGTGGGAGAGGCTAAAGCCACCGTCACAGACCAATCACCGCACAGGCTCGCAACTCAAAATATCTTTGCCAATTAAAAATAATAACAAATAATTAAACACCACAGCCGGTGGTGATATCCGCGTCACATCTTTCCCACTTCCGAATAATTTTGCAGCCCACCCATTTCTTTTTCTTCCCATCTCTTCTCTTATCCTTTTTTTTTATTATTTTTTTTTTCTTTTCCACGTCATTTCTATTTTTTTGGATGCTTCTTGTTCCTTTTATTTAATTCGTTGGATTCAATGCAAATTTGTAAGCGTCCTTTAACATATCCTTTCCTTTGGTTTTTAATAGTCAAATGAAGGTAGGAATTTGATGCCAAAGCCAATTGATTAGATTGTTTATCTTAATAGTTATGGGGGGAGTGGATGGTGAGGTGGCGAGGGGTCCACAGTGTATGAGGAAAGGAAAGAATGTCTGGTGGGGCCCAGTGCAACAAAAAAAAAAAAAAAAAAAAATGCGGCGACTCCCCACTAGCTTGACTTTAGCTTGCCCTTCACTCGCTCGCTCGCACCATTCAGTCCCTTACGTCTCTTTGCGTTCTCCAAAAGCCGCTTCTCTCTCTCCTCATCATTCCTTCTTTCCTGCCAAAGCTTTTGGAGCTCCTCCTCTCTCCTACCAACCACTGTGGATAACCCTCCATTTTTTCCTCTCCATTTACCATTTTAATAATAATATTTATTATTTTCCCATTTCCCCACGCGCCTGCTCCTATGACGACGTAACTACGGGTTATCTTTGAAGTAATAATCTAATATCCTCAAATGTAGTACGACATGTCGTTCCGTTGGGGTGCTGCCCCAACTGACCTATATATGAATTAAGTACATCATCATTTGTTGTGATTTCGAGGGAGAGGGAGAAGGTATCACAAACAATATGTTTTAAATTCCAAAATGGATTTAATTTTATTTAATTTTTTATTCAGTCACGCAGTCACCACACCTAAATTACAAAAAAACCAAAGAAAGAAAGAAAGAAAACGGGACAACCACCGACAGACGCTCATTTCTCACTTCTCTGCCTCGACAGAGGAGTGAAATCCTGTACCGGTGGGATGGATGTTACAATTACGATCAACAAAACTCGCCGGAATCTTCACTTTCACGGCTGAACCTCCCTTACTTCCCTTCCGGTTATCTTTCTTAAGTAAAACCCACAAAAATTTTCGCCTAATATGGCCTGTCTTTGCGGCTGTGAACCTCTGATTCACAGCACCACATGAAGCCAAACGTGTGTAACAAAAATTTGGTCCTTAGACGAACAAATTAAGAAGCTTCCGTTGGGCGGTTCCTTCTTCTGGATAGTAGTGATGGTGATCCCCCAGGCCACTCTCGAAGCACGTAGTGGTCTCGGATTCCTCAGAATTCATTGACGGTGTAGCGGCGCGCGGGGTTGATTTGGATACAAAAGTAGGAGTCAACCGGAGATTTAGGTCGTTCAGTTGGTTCTTGGTGGATGATTCCTCGGATCGCTTGCGTTTCGGAGAGAGCCTGGATCGGGAGTTGGAGAATCGTGAATTGGGATAAGAATCTCGTAGCTTCCACATGTCGGTACAGGCGACTTCAGCCTCGGAAGTGTCGTCGGAGGAAAGATTGGGAGAACCAGCGGCGAGGAAATCGTTGATCGGCCGCAACGTGCCGCCTCGTAAGACGGTGTCAACGGCGGCTTGACAAACATGCCAGTTGCCAGTCCATAGAAGGCCAACGGCGCCGTTGACGGGATTAACAGTGCGTCCACAGGCTTCGAACAACAAAGACTGAAACAAAGCTGAAAAAGAAAGGGAATAGAAAACATCAGAAAAATGAAAATAGAAAAGATAGAAAATGAGAAGGAAAAAGAGGGAAGAAAAGGGAACATACAAGGTCGCTGAGATTCGGGGACAGCGGAGATGAAGGACATAAGGCCGGCGCGGCCGAAGAACTTGGCGACGAAGACAGTGGCGTGGCCTTGGGCCTCGGAGGTCTCAATCCACTGCAAGCAAGGGCGAAGAATACAGGACTCGCTGCAGCCCTTTCGAAGAACGCGGCAACCGTTGCAACTCATGCTTGGTACGACGACGGTAAAATGGAGGAAATGGTGAGTGGCATGGAAATCAGGGATGAGAAAGGTGGGTGCGAGCAATCGGGGGAAATCGGAAAGAGGGGGTATATATAAGAGGGAAAGGGGGGCGTGGGGAGGATAACTAACTGTGGTTAAGGTTGGGTTAGTTTGAGGGTGAGGTGAAGATGCACGCAACGGGAGAGCGCGTGGTCATACTAAAACACTTTTCATTCTTTTGGGATGAGATTCCAAAGACTTGGGTGCTAGCGGCTCCGTGTCTCCGCGGATGGCCGCTCCTCCACCGTTGGATTTCCCCCTTTTGTCTTTTTGTGGATAATTTGCCTTGCTTCCTTTGTCCATGCCTCTGCTCCTCTCTCATGCTTGCGTGGACAAACAATAAAATATCTTTTATTTATTTATTTTATTAATTTTCTTATATATTTAAAATATGTGTAATTAATATGCTCTCTCCAATCCTCCATATTATGCCTTTTACTATTTGATATGTTTTTTAATTTTAAAATAAATTTGGTTCCTTAATTTCAGGAAAGTTAAAAACTCTATATGGATATCTTTCAAGCTATAAAAACTAAATTTATAAAACCGTAAAAATTAAAATTGAAACTTTAAAAAATGAGTCTTTAAATAGTCATGAAATTTTAATACTCTAAAAGAAGAAAAATTATTAAACAAAGACAACAAGAATATGAATGACTACCTCTTAATAACCATTGAACTTGGATTAAAAAAATTGTACGATCTCCTCAAATAATTTATTCCTTCTTCAATACGACTCTACGAAATTTTCGGACAAGTGGGCAGATACTTGAAAAAAACATGACTCATTTTTTCCTCTTACCTAAGTTGTTGAAGAAAATGGAAAAAGGAAAAAGGAAAAAGGATAGGATAAAAGGAGTTTAAAAGAAAGATTCCAACCAATAAAGACTTTAACTTTTATTGTGGGTGACAACTCTAATGGACCAAGAGTCCTATTTATATAGGTTACAGGTTCTAGAGTCAAGAGTAATATTCTAATTTTTTTAGAATAAAGTAATTTTAAATTTACCTATGTAAATAATCAACTAAAATCTACTAAATCCTCATAAACAAACTTAAAACTATTATCAGCAAAAAATAATATCCTGTCGAACAATTTCACCCACATTTTGTCATGATTTTAATTCTTCATGTGCTCGATGAAGGGCTTCAAACAATGGCAGGAAAATCCGTTAGCAAAACTTGAAGAGACTATGAATTAGCAAAGACCAAATATAAACGGGTTCCACAGTTCTTTGTATTTTCAGTCGAGCAATGTTGGCAAAGTAGTGCTCATCCCATGAGCCTGGTCGAAGGTGGGTTGGGGAAGATATTACAAGAATGGCAATAAAGAGGAACATGTGATATCTCACATCGGTTGGAGAAGGGAACTAAGCATTCTTTACAGGAGTGTGGAAACCTTTCCTTAACAGACGCATTTTAACAAACTTGTCCATAGAAGACTATCTGTTAGCAGTAAGCTTGGGCGGTTAAAGAGCAACTCATCCTCTAAGAACCAGATCGGCATAGGAGGTGATGAGGGACCCTATGGATCCGTAGGAAGGGAAATTCCAGCTTCCAATGTAGCAGCCAATGAGTTGGCTAGATAAGCTTGTTCTCAAATTATGAGTTGGCTAGATAAGCATGTTCACAAATTATAAGCCAAACTTGGGATTGTTGTTTTCTATTTTCGACCAAGGTGGCAGCTTCCACCCCCATTGGTTGTCATTTTGTTCTGTCCTTTTCTTACTGAAAGTTATCACAAACAAGACTTTAAGCCTAACTCTTTCACCCACCCAAGTCTTTGACTAAGACAAGACGATCTTCCTACCAAGATGCCTCTTTAGTTATTTCTCAATTGAGTGAAGTAGTTGAATTGCATTTCTCACCTCTTGCTTAGCTCTGTAATGCAATTCATTAGCTCACGGAATTATGCTTAATAATCTCGACCTGCCATCACTTCCTTTAGGACTATTTGTATTAGTATGTTGTACCATACTTGATCAATAAACAATTAAATATAATTTGGGCAGAAAAGTAAAAGGAAGTAGAAAAAAATGAATATGCAATGGAACAGAAGTCATTGCAAGAATCATAATGTCATGTTTAAAAAATGTATTAAAAACAAAATCTGAAAATTATTATTTTCTAATTAACCCTTTTATGTTACAAAAAGTCGTTTTCACGTAGAATATTCCACATCTTTACTAATAGACAGACACGGTATAATAGATAAAAACAGAGAGACGCAAGCCGAGAATGGTCCACGTCGTACCAAGGAAAAGATAATGATCAATCGATGTGGTCTCATTCTGAGATTCAAAAGCTCCAATACCTTGTAATTCAACTGCCTAAAGAAGAACGAGGAGGAAGAAGGATATGGGTGATTATGGTCCAAGGCTAGTGGTGTCTGTAGATGTGAAGAAGAACCCATGGCAACAGAAACTTCCACTTCACAACCGGTGGCACCCGGAGATACCGCCGGTGGCGGAGGTCAAGGTGGATGAGCTCTTCAAAGTCGAAATGGTGGATTTTAGCGGCGGAGCAATCACCAAAGACTACTCTGCTGAGGACGTTAAACATGCTGACAACTCCTCTGTAAGTCCTCTCTCTTACACATACACATCTTTGGCTCGTCCCTGAGTTTTGTATTGGAAAAATTCACACCAGACCCAGTTTACGGAACAAAATAAAGGAGCGATATTTTCAACTTGGCCTTCGGTTTGGAAATTGCGTCCTTAATGGGCAAGAAAGACAAATTAGTTTCTTTGTCCTTCATCTTATCTTCTTATCTTTTTGTGTACTTTTCAACGGTTGCTACTTCGATTAGAGGAGACTGGGGAATAAAAGAACCTAGCAGAACAAACTCAGTTTCCTAAGTTTCTGTGTACTTGTAGTCATAATTCATGGCTCCTTCTACTCCAAGACTAGTTGTTCCGATAGACTTAAAAAAAAAGGCATGGGATCAAAGTTTACCTCTTCACAACCGGTGGCACCCACTTATAACGCCAGTTGCTGAGGTTCACACGGATGAGGTCTTTAGGGTTGAGATGGTGGACTGGACTGGAGGAGTTATTGGAGATAACCACTCTGCCACTGATGTCCAGTTTCTTGACCTTTCAATTGTAAGTATAAATAAATACTAACCTTATCCAAAATTTCACGAACTGTTGCTCTTTTGAGCCTTTAAACAGCCTAGCCTGACATTTGGTAAAGCTTTTAGAATCTGATGCTTGAATTAACAGTAAGCTCCAAAGAAGAGAGATTTGAGTGTTAATAATTGGCTGTTATGTTTTTCACTAATGTGTAGACTCATTATCTGAGTGGCCCAATTAGAGTTGTGGACAAGGATGGGGTTCCGGCCATGCCAGGGGATCTTCTTGTAGTTGAGATCTGCAACTTAGGCCCTCTCCCAGGAGATGAATGGGGCTATACTGCAACATTTGACAGAGAAAATGGAGGTGGTTTTCTTACTGACCATTTTCCTTGTGCAACCAAAGCTATTTGGTATTTTGAAGGAATATACGCATACTCTCCTCAAATCCCAGGTAAACGTTCCAATCTGAAACAAAGCTTTCAATAGGAATTGGTAGCATAGGTACCTTAAACCATATACGCCTTCCAGGGGTTCGATTCCCAGGTCTAACTCATCCTGGAGTTATAGGAACTGCACCATCTGCAGAACTTCTGAACATTTGGAATGAAAGGGAAAGTCACGTTCAAGAAAATGGCCTTCAGACTTTAAAGCTTTGTGAGGTTTTGCATTCACGGCCATTGGCCAACCTACCATCAGCAAAAGGTTGCGTTCTTGGAAAGGTAAGAGAGTGAAGTTCCATCATTCATCGATTCTAAAACGAGTAATTCCAAATTCTACAAGAAAAATAATGGGCATACTGATTTTTCCCCTATTCCAACATCCCTTGCTCCATTGCTTCAAACTAGATCAAAGAAGGCACAGAAGAATGGGAAAGAATTGCCAATGAGGCTGCAAGAACAATTCCAGGAAGAGAAAATGGTGGAAACTGTGACATCAAAAACCTCAGCAGAGGTTCAAAAGTCTACCTTCCAGTATTTGTGGAAGGGGCAAACTTGAGCTCAGGTGACATGCACTTCTCTCAGGGGGATGGTGAAGTCTCATTCTGTGGAGCAATTGAAATGAGCGGTTTTCTAGAGCTTAAGTAAATTTCTCAGCATGGCTTCTCAATCTCTTAAGATCTTTAGTAGCAGAATTTTAAAAACAAAGAATCAGTCGGTCCATACAGACATTTATAAATATTAGTTGTTATCTTCTCCTTCAGGTGTGATATTATAAGGGGCGGAATGAAAGAGTACCTCACACCCATGGGGCCGACTCCTCTGCACGTGAACCCAATCTTTGAGATAGGTCCAGTTGAACCAAGATTCTCAGAGTGGCTAGTCTTTGAAGGCATCAGCGTTGATGAAAGTGGGAGGCAACATTTTCTTGACGCGAGTGTAGCTTACAAGCGCGCTGTTCTCAACGCCATCGACTACCTCCACAAATTTGGGTACTCAAAGGAACAGGTCCAATAACATTCTTCGGTTCCCTTCGACAAAATATATTGCCATTGCGAGTTCTCCAGTTCCAGACCTCACACGAACAATATCACAAACACCTGATATGCACATAAAAACTAAAAACCAATTGCAGTGCAATACTATTATTGAATTGAATATAATAAGATGTGTGAATTCAGGCTTACCTGCTGCTGTCGTGCTGCCCATGCGAAGGAAGAATCTCCGGGATTGTGGATGCGCCTAATGCTATGGCTACCCTCGCAATCCCCACCGCCATTTTCGACCAGGTACCTTCCTTCAACTGGATCGATCCATTCACCCGCTCTACTAATTGTTAATCCACTCTAACTTGGACCAACACTCCCCAGCCCAAACCGAGGTACTTAAAAAACATTTGGTTTCTTTTTTTCTTGGAAAAAATTACATTTTAACAACCCACTATTTCATAAACATTTAAATTTTATTATTTTAAAAAAACAATACCAAAAGTTAAGATTAGAAACAATTGAATATTGCATGAGAATATTGAAACGTACATATGGGTAAAAAAAAAAAAAAAAAAAAAACACAAGAAGGCACNAAAAAAAAAAAAAAAAAAAAAGCACACAAGAAGGCACAAGGGTCGAGTCCTAAAAACGTTTTAAAACGTCGACAATATCTTAAGTTAATTAACAAGCTTTTTTCTATCACATAAATTCGTAGATTATTCGTTTTAAATTGAGAGAAAATCAATATTATCTCAGATCAAATGCATAAATTTCTATAAAATAATAAAAAAAAAAATTGTTGGATATGAATGTATAACAAAATTTGTGAATGAGCAGGACATTCGCCCAAAGGCGAGCAAAGTTCCAGTTGGACCTCGTGTACTAAAAAGGCCAGACGTCCTGAAATGCAGCTATGATGGGAATTTGCCCATCACCAAGAACCCCAGCGCCACATCTTAAAACATGGTGGATCCTTTCAGCTTCTTCTTGGTCTGAATAAACCATTACTGTTATATTAAATTATTCATCGTTTTGACTGTCTGTAATAGTACTGACGTAATAGATATACGAAGTCTTTAACTTTTATATTCTGTCCTTTGCTACTAAACTTCAGGGTTCCTAAAATAGACGCCAACTATCATAGTTCTCGAGAAATTACCCCGAGCTTCTTCTGCCAGAAGGCCATCATATCCAATATTGGATTGGTATCAGTAGTAGATTGAAAGAGTACGATGGTGAGGCAGAGATGGGAACTGGATTCCGAATGACCAAAGCCAAAGATCTAACTCCACGCTTAGAACCTGCAAAAACCAAATCGTTCAACTCCATATTTTGAGAAACCAAAGCATCAGCAGATATACTTTCGACGTTCTTTTGAACACAATCAGATGCTAGGATAATGAAGTACATATATGGATCGAAATTTGTCTAGAGATTGTACTTTTGGAATACCTGTTTTCCTGATTTCTGACTGATCAATTCTCTCATTTTCTCAACTGCATATATCGAGCAAGCCCGGAGTTCTACTTCCTCCTCGCTGCCTGAACCAATTTCATTGTTAGCATCAATGATGTTAGCGAGTGTAGAACTATATTTTAGCACCCCAAGCTGTCGAAGTACTGCAGGAACGATGTAGTCAGCCATAATGGTGATTGAACCAATGTCATTGAACTCTCCGTATCCTTTGCCACGGAATGCACCCCAAAGGTCAGCAGCAAGTATTTGAGCTCGTTTGTACAGGAATACCTGGTGGCCTTTGTAGAGAGAGTGGTCTCGAAAGCCTAATGTAAGGAGATGATGAACGTGTCAAACAACCATCTCAAAATATTCTTCTTAACATATGCACCTACGTATAATAATAACATATTTCCTAGAATGATATAAAAGTCGATACCAGGAAAGTGTCGTGTGATAGCAGCAACAAGCTTCACAGCTGATTTCCCACAGGACTCCACTATATTAGAAGCCTTACCCTCGAAGCTTCTCTCTAGTTCGAATCCAACCTAACACATGAAATAGAATGATCTCACGAATATATTTCCTTACAAGGAGAAGTAATTGCAAGTCAGAAGAATATGGTCCATATCAAAAGAGTACACATATACTAGAATCTGCTAATGGAAATTTTTTTTCACCTCATGCAGCAAGCGAACCCGTTCATCCTCCAAAGGAAGTGGTCTAGGCCATTTCAACAGTTCACGCAATTGAGGGCCTGATCGCATACAGCCATCAAATGATAAAATAATCAATGAAATAAGATTATAAGGTTAAGGTGATATCATTTGTCACTTACCAGTGTACTCTTGCAGGCGATCAGCATCAAATGCTGACTTGTCATTTTGAAGAGCAGCCTTCAGTCCAGAGGCCAGGTGATCATAGCTCAAGTCCTTATCTGAGTCCGACAGGAAGAAATTAATTGTTATTGAAGCAAAATATGTCTTTGATGCTAATAATGGGTATAAATTGCCTCTGTAGATTATAATATTGCATTTAAACGAGAATGATATAACCTACTTATATGACCTCCACAAATGTCAAACTGAGATGGACACTGTCTCTCGAGTTGAAATTCTATTTCATCATTAAAATTTGAATCTGTTCAATCATACCTTTGAAATCATTTTGACCTTATTGTTTCTCTATTTATAATGGTTATAAGCTAAAATTGTTTCTCTAGGCATACATCAACACTGGATGATTAACAAGCTTCTCTGGCGTTCTAATTGTGCTAATCGCTCGTTGATCATTGGCTTTGATTTCCAGTGTTATCTAGAATATCTGGAGCGAGTAGAGCATGATATTGAGTTTGGTACAACACGAGACTCCATTCAAAGATTTCTTGTTCATAAGATGTCGAGCCTCTTGCAATCAGGACATTCGACATGCAGGGGCGTTCCATACCGAATTTACAGGCGTAGAGGAAACACTTAATTCCTAACTGATTGATGAAAAATACAACAATAACCAAATAAGACAAATAAAAAAACGAGTGTTGAATTTTACCAGGCCAGAAACAGAAATTCAAGGCGTCCAAGACGAACAAGTACTGGACGGTTAACGGACCATTATCAAAATAGTGAATCCCTTCAAAATCCCAATCAACTTTCGGAATCGACTCTATAGTATCCACCACTTTCTCAATCCCTACAGTATCAAAACAAAAACCAAACAACCGCATTTACCATCGCCATTATCGAAAAGAAAACACAAAATACACACGGCGAAGGACTGAACCTGAAGAGTCGACAAGGACGTGGGAGGAGTGGCTAGCAACCCAAGCAGAGGTTGCCCTAACATCATCCATGGCGGCTGTGTTTGATCCGTAAGAGTGGGGGCTGCAGCTGCTGTTTGCGTAATTTTCTCCCCCTTCCCCGTTTCGAAGATTCCCGCGCCGTGTCGCTTTCAGCGCGCATGGACAAGCACTTTTATCCGCTCAGAACCAGAACCAGTGCCTGAGTCTGCTTTAGGAAGGCCGTTACTTTCGACCACAAAAATCCCCCATTTCTAACTATCTGTCGGCCCGTGGTTCACGTGCGTCCTTATTATCGTTGGGCTTCCACGTTCCTTATAGGGCCTGTAAACATTGGGCCCAGCTCCATTCATTTCATATATGTTCTTCATTAATTTCATATCAAAAACATATTCTTCATTAATTTCGTAATTACATGCTATGTATTCATAATACATCTTAATCGGCAATTTTTTTTTCAAATAAAATGTATTAAAAGGTAAACATTAAGTTAAACTTGATTAAGTCCATGTCAATTAGGAGGTAAAAATGGACATTTTTTCTATATAAAAAGAAGACCCTGATTCTGTGGAATTAATGTTACTGTCAATAGAAATAGGTATACGAGAGATATTTCTTGAACTGAAAAAAAAAAAGAAAAAAAAAAAGGAGAAAGATAAAGAAGAAGGAAAAAAGGGTATTTGAGTCGAAACATCGATGCCGGTACCTTTTTGGTTTCAATCAGCGTTTTGATGGCCATAAGGCCGTTCAATTTCAAAGTTTCTCCCAATCACCATACCCATCTTTCTTCCATTTTCTCTCCTCCTCTCTTATCCGCCTTCTCTCTCCGCCAATCGGCGTCTTCAATCTCCCTCATCTTCCGCCGGATTGCTTCGTCGGCGACCTCTCTATCTCGTTCCCAACAACAACATCCGCCGCCTCAACCGCCGTACAGAACAAAGCCGCGTCTGCGTCCATTATCCCCGCAAGAAACCCTGGCGCAGAAGATCGGGAAGTCGATTCGCCGCCCTGGCGCTCCTTCGAAGGCTAGGGTTTATGCCGACGTTAACGTGATCCGACCTAAGGAGTACTGGGACTATGAGTCGCTCACCGTACAGTGGGGGTAACTTTTTTTTTTTTTTTTTTTTTTCTCTCCTCCGATGTATTTTATTTTATTTTTATATTAGGGATAGCTTTTTGTCCGATTTAGTTTGATTGGCTGAAGGAGCAGGGGTAGAGATGGGCCTGGATTGGTTTGTATTGGAAGACCTTGTATCTTTTAAAGTCCTTGTCGCAATATAAAAGTCTATGGAGACTTGGTTCACTACTCCACAGACGCGTACTTGCATGAGCTTATACGAATATGGTTCCTTTCATTTTGGAGCTTTCTAATCTTGGGATGGGTTATGAATTTCATTTCGTAAAAGAAGTTGTGCATTTGGATGTAACTAATGTTCTTGGCTTCTTTGTTGTCCGTCTCTGGATGATATTATGTTCATTTTACAGGGACCAAGATAATTATGAGGTCGTGAGGAAGGTGGGGAGGGGGAAATACAGTGAGGTGTTCGAGGGTGTTCATTGCACGGACAATGAAAAATGTGTCATTAAGATTCTTAAACCCGTCAAGAAGAAAAAGGTGAGCTTTGTTTTGTCAAGAATATTGCACGGACGGTTTAACATTGTTGTGTAAGAGTTCTTGTAATATAGGCATTTCATTGACAATGGGAACTAATATCATGGGAGACATCGTGTGTTTTCTTCTTTTATAATAGACATCGCAGTTAATCTTAAGCATTTGATCATTAAGTTCTTAGGAAACTGATGGCATTGGTTGATTTTTTGCTTTCGTATTTGTGACTCTTCCTTACTCTTTGCCATACAATTGTTAACTATATTAATGTATAATGTATCCTCCGTCCTTGTCTGTACCCCAAAGGTGCATTTTGGTAGCTTTGCCATTTTCTTTAGTAGAGTTTCATGTTCTGTCATGCAAATTTGGACTGTCCTATATTTTTTAATCATACGTGTTTGGGACGATCAGGGGACCATGGAGGTTCAAGAAAATGAGGGAAAAAAAAAGTACACAATTATTTGGCAACTAAATATGTATATGTATGCATTTAGTAACTAACGAATAAATAAAAAGATACAAAAACCTGTAAAAGTTAAGCCAAAGGGTAAACTGAAACATATAATTGTGTTCAATAAAATTCAAGTGAGTGGCACGCAAAGATGTGGGAATAAAGCATTTTGTTCAAGGGACTGCTGTGGTCGGTGTTCCCAATGTCATAACATTTATACCAACCAAGATGGTATAAAAAAGAGTAAGGCTAAGCTCATGGATTTTTCAAATTTAATTTGATCAAACGTATCCTTGGACTGTCAATATCCTATGGAAAATGTTCTGCTGTTGTGTTTGTGTCGATGCTCCCGATTCAAAGATTTGATACCTTCCTGAAATAACTTTATGTACTTCAATGTCATTTATTTATGGCTTTAGACAATTTCGCTAGTCTTGTTTTAGTCTCTGGATGCAATTGTACGTTCTAGCAAATGACTATCTATTGATTATGATCGCTTCATGTTGAAGAGTATTTGCATGATTCATTTGCTTAGGATGAGATATACAGTACTAAGTTGTGTTAGTGTTCATCATTCCTGTCTATCGATATTTTTGACAAATTGAAGCTTCTTGTCTTTGGGAATATTCATGGATGTCTGATAATCAGATTACAAAACCCACATTTAATGTGCACACGTGCATATTGGTCTTGTTTCACATGTTTTTATTGTTGAAGTTAAATCCTTGAAAGATCTTTGTTGCTAACTGTTCTTCTTTTGTTAATGAACAATTTATCACGTTATATCTTTAGCATCTTTTGAGCGTTTTCAAGTCCTTCATAATTTGCAAAGACATGCTTTTTCCTTTCTATTGATTTGAGGCTATTGTTTTCTCAAGATGTCATATTTCATATTTTGTTTGTTTTATTCGATGCAGATCAAGAGGGAGATAAAAATACTGCAGAATCTTTGTGGAGGGATAAATATTGTGAAGTTGCATGATATTGTTCGAGACCAGCAATCAAAAACCCCAAGTCTTATATTTGAGCACGTTAACAATATTGATTTTAAAGTTCTATATCCAACACTTGCAGACTTTGATATTCGCTACTACATCTATGAACTTCTAAAGGTAAGCATATAGTTTCAGATCTTTGCATGCCAACATGTTGCCAGTGTTGCAGTTGCTATTATAACTATCAACCCTCAACCCTCAACCCCACAATTTTTATTTGACTTTGCTGACTCTATGTGTGTCCATGTTGTTGGAACTGTATGTGTAGGCATTGGACTATTGCCACTCACAAGGAATTATGCATCGAGATGTTAAACCTCATAATGTGATGATTGACCATGAGCAACGTAAACTTCGTCTTATAGATTGGGGCCTTGCTGAGTTTTACCATCCTGAGAAGGAGTATAATGTTCGTGTTGCTTCAAGGTTGTTTGTTTGTTTTATATTTAAATTAATATATTAGGGTTTATTTAGTGGCATTTTTAAATATATTAGGGTTCATAACGATGTTCCCTTCAATATTTTGTTGGGTACATGCAGATATTTCAAAGGTCCAGAACTTCTTGTTGATTTACAAGATTATGACTATTCTTTGGACTTGTGGAGTCTTGGCTGCATGTTTGCCGGCATGGTGAGTAATTGGTTAATCTCCACAATTTTTTACAATACAGTTTTCTGGTCTAATAATATTTGTTGAATTTTTTAATAGAGGTTCTGACATCTTACTATTGTTTATTTGAGTTATATAGGGTTATTTTGTCATTTTAAGCAAGTGGAAGACAAATTGGACTCAGTATGTTACGGAGGTCTTTGTACATAGTAGTATCTTATGGAAGTGGCATGTCTTGCATTTAGTGGTGCCTTCTGCATCAAAGTTATAATGTTGTCTCATTTGAATTTGGCCATCTTTTCATGATATTTGTGCTTATTGGAAATTTCTATTTTCTAACCCCACCTGGATAGAGTGGATATTATTCTACTTCCTGTCAATCTTGAGATGGAAGATGACTTGATTGTTCCATATTCCAATTGTTTAGCTTTCTCTTGAGAAATATTCCACCTTGTCTAGAACTGCTTTATGCTTATAATCATAATTTATGCTGTCAGATTTTTCGTAAGGAGCCATTTTTCTATGGACATGATAATTATGACCAGCTGGTTAAGATTGCTAAGGTATGGAATATTCTTTAATTCAATTCGTATTTTATTCTATTCTTGCCACAAATAGAATTTCTCTGACATGGTTTTGATCCTATCCATATGTACTTTCCAAGTTTCTTATCTATTATAAGCAACTTGATATTTTATTAGATTTTTTCCAGGTTCTTTTATCTTTTATTGAATGAAAGACTTCAGTTTAATTTAATAGTGCACACTGTTTGGGTGTCATTCATCTGGATATAGTTTTTAGTGGATAGAATGAGTTAACGTACTGCCCTTGAGAGGTGAAGCTCTAACTTGATGTTTATGGTCTTTTGCTGGAACAGGTGTTGGGGACAGATGAATTGAACACATATTTGAGTAAATATCGAATAGAATTAGACCCACATCTTTCAGCTCTTGTTGGGAGGTTTGTTCGAGGACTTGACCTTGCATTTTTTTTTACAATGGTCATTGGCCACTTCAACTGCGTTTTTAAGTCATTGCTTACTTTATTTTTAATAAATTTGATTAAGGCATAGTCGTAAACCTTGGACCAAGTTCATTAATGTTGACAATCAGCATTTGGCAGTCCCTGAGGTAAAAGTAACAGACAAATGGTCATGTTATGATTGGGCTTCATGTTTGTTCAAGGATAATTTTTCTGATCATATTTATTATACATTTGAAGGCTGTTGACTTCGTTGATAAATTGTTGCGCTATGATCATCAAGAAAGGCTAACTGCTAAAGAGGCAATGGTTTGTCACTCAACTAAAGTGTTTTATTCTTTCTTTTATCTTGAATGATCTATGTTCATGCAACCTTCCCCCTATTGTATTGAATGCATTATGTGAGCATAGTTTATTGTGATGTTCTAATTGTATGTTGCTATTAATATTGGGTTGAAGATATATTTTGACAAGTTTGAAACTCCTGACTATAATTATCCGAGTTACTTGGCCTTTTTTTTTTCGGTAGGGGGGTCATTGTTTTGGAAAAAATAATGATTTGAAATTAACAGCATTCAAAGCTTGAAATATGTTTGGAAAATGTATCGCTAGAAATT